CCACCCTCGCCTCGACACCCCCAGAGCCCCGCCAGCTGCCGCGAGTCTCCGCTGCTAGAATCTTGTGAGCGGCTGTCATTTGGGGGGGGCTCTGGTTTCCCGACATTTTTGTTTTCAGCCAAAGGGAGGAGGATAGCGAGATTTTTTGTCCCCCTTTGAGCCCAGGCTCTGCTCTCTGGGGGGGTGGGGGGCGCGCCGAGCCGGGGAGCCGTGCCAGCCGAGTCGTGCGGGCTGTGGCAGGGAAGGGGCCGCCATGGGATGTACTCTGAGCGCCGAGGAGAGAGCCGCCCTCGAGCGGAGCAAGGCGATTGAGAAAAACCTCAAAGAGGATGGCATCAGCGCCGCCAAAGACGTGAAATTACTCCTGCTGGGTAAGGACTGGGCTGACACCCCATCCCCCGACCCGGGCCGCTCCGCACCCCCCTCCGCAAGCTCCCCCACCCCATTCCCGCCCAGGGACACCTGGTCCCCGAGGTGGCATCACCATGTGCCAAGATCGTCCACCCTCTCCCATGCCTTGCCCCCCGCCCTCCACCCTCTACCCCGTTCCCCTAAACTGACACTGACCAGTTTCCCCCCCTGTCTGTCCCAACAGGGGCTGGAGAATCAGGAAAAAGCACCATTGTGAAGCAGATGAAGTAAGTCCCTGTGGCATTGGTACTTTTTTTAAGAATTATTTTTTATCTTTGGTATTACCTTGCTCACTCCACATTGCTCTCCAGGCCCGGTTTTTGATTCGTGTACACACACACACACACACACACACACCTGGATTTGACTCCCCTCCCCCACTCCCTACCTTGGTTCTGGGTCCCTCACCCCAACTGCCTGGTTGGGTGGTTTTTTTCTTGGGAGGGGGAGACAGGGAGAGCTTGTAGTTGTATGAATGACAGTGTCCGCCATATTGATCAGGACAGCACACTATTGGCATGGTTATGATCATTACTCTTGCTTGTGGGGTGTTTCGTGTGTATCACTGCCTCCATTTCTGTCTCTATGTCTCTGTTTCCTTCTGTTTCTCACTTCTCC